CAAAAGTGTTATAAAACATGTAATTAATTACCATAATTATCTCCATACAATATAATAAACCAAATCACATAATCATTTCACAAACCATATATAAATAGGGATAAAATGCATTAACAGCACATAGTTTCAAATTTACCACATATTTTTTAGCCTCAAGAAAAATACATTTTAATATAATGAACCGATTATTTACACTCGCGTTGTTTATGTTGGTTATTGGGTCCATATATTGCCAGTACTCGGGTGGCGGTGCCGGCGCAGGTAACGGACAGCAGGGTAAATTTGCAAACTAACCACGATAAAACACTATCTAATCTAAATTACCATGCCATTACATTTATTTAATTAGGTGGCGGCGGCTCTATGAGGGACACAGCGAGCAAAGTGGGTCAGGCGGCGTGGGGTGTGGCCAAGACTGCGGCCCAAATGACACCACAGGGCCAGGCAGTGATGCAGGCGAAGAATGCGTACGACGGCGCCAAAAAAGTATACAACACCTATCAGAATGCACGTGGTCAACAACAACAGGGATAATAATAAAATTTGTTGTAGAATTTGTTCCTGGTCATATTTGTTTTAAATAAATACGGTTATTTCTGTTTGATGCAATTAAAATGTGTATTCATTTTGTTTGTTTTACCTCTTTATCTCAAAAATACAAACTGTAATAAAATAATTATAGACAAAACTTGGATGCGTTTTTGGATGCATTTGCACGGAGAAAATTTTTTTGTGCAAAATGAAAATAAAATTGCATTTATTAATTCTTAAACACATAATAAATTCAACAGCTTAATTTCGATATACAAAACACTTTTTTACAAAACTTGAATTCTATTCAAATTTCCTCAAAAATTATGATATTTTCACCTAACCTTCTTTAAGAATTAATAAATTCAATTTTATTTTCATTTTGCACAAAACAATTTTCTCCGTGCAAATGCATCCAAAAACGCATCCAAGTTGTGTCTATAAAAATAATTAATATAAAATTGTGAGCATAAGTAAAACACACCTAAAAATGTATGTATAGTTTTAAGTCTAACATAGTTTATAAGAGTGTAAATGTATTGCAATACAAAAAGGCTATCTATGAGAGTGTATATTAAAAGTGTTATAAATATGAGCTCAAAGAGTGTGTATAAAAGGACTATAAACGTAATGTACCATGATATAAAACAACGCTGAGAGTGTGTAAATTGGTTGACCACAAATATGATCATGATCAAACATGATAGCCCAAGTCCTTTTGTTATAGGTTAACCATATAATTTATATTATAATTATTTATAGTGATTATAATTATAATCATAACTGTCTTGATTTTTGCCGTTGCATAATAAATAATGTTCTCGGTGAATTGTTTATGCACAACTTTTTTACAAAATTTTATGTAGTTTTGAATTTATTAGGCAATAATAATACAAAAAATTATCAAATTTCGTACAACTATCTGTTCAAACATGATAAATCTTATTTCACAACAAAACATACTTTAAACTGTCAACACAAATGTGTTAATTAAAATTGTCACACATTTGACCATGATTTGTATCGTGTCGTATAAATTATATTCAGGGCACTAGTTCAGTAGTTTAGTGCTAGCTGCGTTTATAAATTTTAATGTTTGTGTTGCTAAATTAGAAATGCCAATCACCTTATTATATTAATTATGTACACAATCCCTATAATTGTTTGGATACTAACTTTAAAAACACAAATCCTTGAATTGCATGCAAACAAAAACCACTTATAAAAACAAAGTTAAAACTATAAACAAGTTTAAAGATAATCATTAAAATTAATACACAATATTTCAAACATAGTACTATCATGTTAAAACTATTAACTATAGTATTCATAGTTGGCGTACAATTAATTAGCGGCAAACATCGCGACCACTATCACGACAATCGTCACGATATATTTGACGGACCCAACAGTCCGGATGACCACGAGCTGCACCACTATCTACTCACTAATAATCTTCAGGACAGTAATCACCGCAAACGGGTCCACAAAGTGACCATCGAGACAAAGGGCTACGCTTATCAAACCATTGAGTTGTCTCGCAAACGCAGAGGTAATATTACATAAAAATCATCAATGTAGTTTATAATAAAATTTTTATCTCATTTCTTAATGTAGATACTAATAGCACGAGTGATACAACAGCGAAGCCAGTGGCAGCGGCGGTGCCGGCATTGGCCGCTCCGGCAGCGACTGCCGTTCAACCCGTGGCCACCAATGCTGTCCGCACGGGTCGGACGTATGGCAACAATCAAATGAATCGACGCTCGTATAACATGACCCGTACCCGCACGTGGAGACGGTCTAATGTCACCCGAACCCCCAGGGTTAATAATGGTGGCTATGCCGGCTAATGTTGTGATGACCATGGGCCATGGCTTATAAAAAGTTATGGCATACGTTATAAAATGTTTAACATGATATTATTTATATATTTAATTGGTTATGGTAATTAATTATTATTGGGTTATTTTTGTTTTAATTATGTATTGTGTAATAATTTAATTGCTGTTTACATTTAAATTAGATATTGTCCTAGGACACTTATTGTTATTTGCAATTATGATTATTGTTAAATATGCTTTAGCACTATTTATTAATTGTTTTGTATAAACTAATTATATAACACTTAAAGTATGTGCTTGTTCAAATATAATTTGCATTTATTCTCTCTCTCTCTCTCTCTCTCTCTCTCTGTAATAAACATATATTTGTATTTTAAGTGTCAAAGTATACGTATGAATAAATAAAATGTTTGATTTATATTGCATTTACAATTTTGTTCAATTAGTGCCTGTATGCATAACGGATATAAATGAACTAGTTTCAGTACTGGTTATAATAACTTTTACTATTGAAATTGGGATATGTAAATATATGAAAATTTTTGATAATATTATTAATACCTTAACCTATCATTATGAAAATAATATAAAAATTTCGATATAACGATCATAAGACCATGTTTGTACAATATTTACCTAAACAATTTAAAGTACTTTAATAATCTATATAAAAGATCCTAGTTTACAATGATATGACATATAGCTGACAATAAATAAATATTTGTTAAAATATGAATAAATAAATAGACTTTTTAAATAATAATATATTATTTTTAAATTATGTAATAAATCCTTGAATTATATATTTCTATTGTATTGATATTAAATATTATAGCAGGTTATAAATATAAGGTAAAAGTTGGGCAATTTATTAGTACACTGTCTATGCATAAGATTTAGCCATAGGCTGGCTATACAGAAAAATAGCATGATGATTATGGGAAACATTATAATGATTATAATGTATTTGGTATGCATTCACTTCGCCAACAGTTATCCCAATGATAAGAATTCTTACGAAAAATTCATAGACAATAACAACAACTTTAACAAGAATTATAATTACGACAAAAATTTCGATAAGAATTATGAGAAAAATTTTGATAAGAATGACGACCAGAATATCAACAAAAATT